CCTGGTTTCACGCGAGCCCGGCGCCGTCGCGGTCGACGTCGATGTCGACCTCGCGGGCGCCCCCGCTTCGCGCGCTCGGCCAGGGCGACGATCGCATCTGCCAGCGCGAGTTCATCAACCAGGCCTTTGAGGCGATGAAACCGCCGGAGGGGATGTGCTACGAGCGCGCCTCGGACGGAGGCGCGGGCGGGCGGCCGCCGAGGATCTGCACCCCGAAGTGGGGGCTCCCGGGCACCATCTTCCACCGGCCCAACCAGCCCCAGCCCTCCTCTGCGGGGAGCTACTTCAACTAGGGAAGGTGCCACCCCGGGGCAGGAGGGGTGGGAAGCACGCAAACGATTTCCCCACGTGCGGTGGTGGGTCGTCTTCTCGGGTAGGGCTAGCCTACTTGATGAAGCGGTTGCCCGTGTGGATGTGCGTAAAGGTGGAGGGAGGGAAAGGGAGATGAATATTTGTATGTGTAATCACAATATTATTGCGCAAATAATTTATATAAAAATGCATATTTACGTATGCCTCAATATGTTGCAGTAGGTCTATGCAAAATATTTGGGGGTGCTACCCTTTCCGTTTGAGTCTCATAGATATGTATCTTTATATGGGTGCATATCTATAGATAGACACGTGGAATGGAGAATAAAGACGAGAATGAGTATGTGGCTATTTGAACATTAGATTGGTGTTTCATCCGTTTCAATATAGAGCGTAGTCTCATCCTCATCGTTGGTTGCATACCTCTGTTTTTTGTGATCTTTAATTTAAATTCCACTGCGGATTTATGTCTGATAGGTTATCAATCGGCATTACCTAATCGTAATTATCGCTTGGGAGACCCCACCGTTATGCTGATGCCGCCGAAATTGAATTCCTTACCTTTCTAATTCTTCTTCATCACCGGACGGAAAAAGAAGATTCACACACCTGTTAGTCTGCAGAATACAATAGTTCTATCTCCATCGCAAAGAGCATTGTATTTACGCGGTGAAAACGTTTTTCACCACTTGTTGTTCTCATTGACAACCCGATAAAAGTATGCCCAGACGCACTCGTGATGAAGCAGAGGTCGAGGAAAAGACCACCCACGAAAAAAAATTGAATGACACCCATGAGAAGACGGCGGCCGTCGAGGGCACCGTCAAGGGTGTGCCCGCGAATGGGGAGTCCATCAAAAAGAAAGTGCGCAGCGAACCCCAAGGGGAGGAAGCGGAGAGTGGCCTCTCGAACGGCGCACCGGCGCTCGTCCCGCGCCCGTTCTCGGACTTCGATCTGAGCGAGGAGACCGTCCAGGCGCTGAAATCGCGCGGCTTTGAGTCCCTCTTCCCCGTCCAGGCGCTCACCTACGACGCGATCATGAAGGAGCGCGACGTCCTCGTGCAGGCGCGCACCGGCAGCGGCAAGACGCTCGCCTTCGGCATCCCCATCGTGGAGCGGCTGCGGCGGCTGAAGGCGCCTCTCACACGCGGGCGCGGGCCTGCCGCCGCGATTTTTTGCCCGACGCGCGAGCTCGCGATTCAGGTGCAGGACGTCCTGAGCGGGATCAGTGGGGGCCTCGTCGTAACGGCCCTCTACGGTGGCGTCGCCTACGCGAATCAGGAGCGCGTGCTGCACAGTGGCGTGGATATCGTGGTGGCGACCCCGGGCCGCGCGAAGGACCTTCTGGAAAAAGGCACCCTCCGCTTCGACCGGATCTCCATGGTTTGCCTCGATGAGGCCGACCACATGCTCGATATCGGCTTCAAGGATGACATTGAGCTGCTGCTGGGGATGATCTCGGACCAGAACGGCTCTAGGGGGCTGGAGAAGCCGAAGCACCAGACGCTGCTCTTCTCCGCGACGGTTCCGGACTGGGTGCAAAGCTGCTCCCTCATCCCGAAGGAGAAGGAGTTTATTGATATGGTAGGGAAGGAAGCGGTGCGGACGGCCAGCACCATCCGCTTCTACCGCCGCAAGTGTAATTTCAGAGAGGTCTCCTCCATGCTGGCGGACCTGATTAAGGTGTATAGCGGGGTGCACGGCCGCACCTTGGTGTTCACCAACACCAAGAAGGATTGCCACGATCTCTCCATCAACAACACCAAGCTCGACTCGCAATGCCTGCATGGGGATATGCAGCAGGAGCAGCGGGAGAGCACGATGAAGAGCTTCCGGGATAACAAATTCAGCGTCCTCATCGCCACCGACGTGGCCGCCCGGGGGTTGGATTTGCCGATGGTGGATTTGGTCATCCAGTGCGCGCCGCCAAGCGATATCGACGCGTTCATCCACCGCGCCGGGCGAACCGGCCGCGCGGGCCGCAAAGGCGTCTGTGTGCTGCTCTACCAGCCCCGTGAGGAGTACATCGTGGAGCGGATTGAACGGCACGCGAAGATTCGGTTTGAGATCCTTCCGGCGCCGACCCGCGAGGAGATCCTCCGGGCGGTGGCGCGGGATGCGGCCGAGGAGCTCGCCCGTGTGGAGCGACGCGCGACGGATCTTTTTATGGATCAGGCGGCGGATTTGCTGAAGGATGCGGACCCGGTGGAGATCCTCGCCTCGGCGCTTGCCGTGATGAGCGGGTACACCACTCATATTAACAGTCGTGGTCTTCTCACGGGAACGGAGGGCTACGTGACGTTGCAAATGTTGTCTGAACGAACCCTGCCAATTCCGGTGTACTGCAGCATCTTGCGGAATAACCTCGGGGATGATATTTTCATGCGGTGTCGGGATATTACCCTGCTGCTGGATGAGCCCGGGTGCGTCTTTGATGTGCTCGAGCAATTTGCGGATCGGGTGCTCAACGCGAACATCCGTGGGATGTCCGTTAGCCGGATTGACGTCCTTCCGAATATTATCGCCCGTGAGCTCAACACGCAGCGGGGTGGGGCTCGAGGTGGTGGTGGGTTCCGGGGGCGCGATGGCAGCAGCGGGGGGTCTCGTTTTGGCGACCGAGGGAATAGAGGTGGATACGGAGGAGGGTATAGCCGTGGTGGCGGCGGTTACGGAAGCCGGGGTGGAGCGCACCGTCGCTATTGATCGATATAAGTGGGATTAATACACTAATAGGATCTCATGTTAGAGGCCAGTGGATTTCGTTAGACTAAATCATTTCTCACCCGCCCCTCTTCCATTCCCCCTTTACTTCATGGTGATAGATTTGATTTCAATTTCACCGTCGCGAAAGGGAATATAAATATATCTCTATTTATATGCATACATATACACAAAAAAAGAGAGTAATTACGGTTAATACACGTTTGCACACATATTTATGGTTTTGTGCGCTATGTTTATGTAGGAGGAAAAAAGTAGTTGTCTTAAAGTTAAAAATATTAAAATTTAAGGTGAGCAGGTTTTTGTGCTGAGAGACGGAATCAGAATACTTTATTTGGAAGTTATAGTTATTCTGGGACGCATGGAATACAGTAGAAACCCTTCTTCCAGATTCGTTAAGTAAATAATAACTAAAAAGGTATTACTTACATTTCTTCTTTTTTCTCTACCCTTAGAGCTGTTTTCAAAGGGCACCGGGTAAGAAAAGATGATGATAATGCGTTTTCAAGCGGATTGTTATATTCGAAAGTAAATGGCTGTGCTTTTCTTCCGTTTTTTTTTCCATTTAGCCGTTAAAGCTACAAGAGTCATTCATAATGGCTGGTAAGTTTCGTGGTGATGTTGGGAAGCTGAGTAAACCAAAGAAGAATAGGGCTTCACTAAAGGTTAAAAGGAGTAAGGTGACCTCCCTGATAAAACGTAGCCCTAAGCTTCCAGAAGATGCCTTGCAAAACCGCCTAAATGAGCTTATAAATGGTTCAGAGGGAATTAAACCTTCCAAAGCCGCAGAACCACAAGGAGGGGTACAGAAGAAACCTGTCGGCAAAGCTGCAATCGAGATTGTTGGCAAAACGAGGGAAAAGTTCGTGCCGGAGCAAACGGTGGCACCGCAACGTACCACGGCCGAGGCGATCGGCCTCAAAATTCTGCACCGCGCCGTCAAAAGCCAAGGGCATAACCGCCTCCTGCCGCATCAAAATCGCCACGATTACGAATATCAACTGCGCACGGTTGCTACGATGGGCGTAGTGCGGCTGTTCAACTCCCTCGCACAGGCGCGCCGCGCGAGCTCCGCGGTCGATGTGGATTTCAAAACCCTAACCGCGGATAAGGTCAATGAAAAGAAGCAAAACGTTTCCAAGGAAACCTTTCTTGCCACCCTTCGTCAGTAAGCGGAACCCCCACACGTACGGACCAGAAAGCAAGGCAATAAAAAAATATCAGGTTGTGATGGCGGTAAGGCACTTGTGTTGAGTGTGTGTTCGTCGGTTTTCTACTATTTACATCGACCATGATTCCATGCGTTCCTTCTAATGACGAGTAAGTCTAATAATGCCTTCCGCTTTCTTTAGCAAGAATAGCTCAGAGCAGCTAATAGGTTGGGTGTGAGATAATCGATGTTCCATACCTGAGTCGACACTTACTTCCCAACAAAAAAATGAATTTGAAAACCATTTTTATCACTTTTCATATGCTTACACTTTTCCCCTCAACATCTATCGACATCGATACTCATCTAGGTCTAGAAAGAAAGTTAAGAGACCCTCTTTATATCTGAAAGGGGACGAAGGCACCTGTAAGTCGTCGATTCCTTTTCTTCCGTACACCGTCGCATCCTCGCGTAAGGGGTCGACAACTTCGCCCCCTTCCCTCCTCCCGTGCCCCTTTATCTTTCTTTATTACCTATCCCATATCGATCTCTAGATTTCATGCCAAAAAAGAGCAAGAAAGACAAGATTCCCTATCCAGGGACCAAAGGGGAGCCCTTCACCGAGTTCTACTCCCGCAAAAAGTGGCGAACTGTGTTTCAGTCGCAAATGTTGGATTTGGCTGGCCGCGGCCTCTCCTCAGTGGGTACGCTGATCATCGGAACGGCTCTCGCGAAGAACCACACGATAAGCTATCTAAATCTTGCGCATAATGACATGGGGGATGATGGCGCCATCGCGCTCGCGGATCTGCTCCGCGTGAACGAAACGATTCATACGTTGGATCTCTCGCAAAACTGCATCACGGACGTCGGCGCCATCGCGTTGGCATCGGCGTTTTTGCCGAACGTCTCGCCGTCTGGGCAGCCAGGGCAGTGGAATCGGACGTTGACTTCGTTGATTTTGGTGGGAAATGAGTGCGGGGATGATACGCTGCTTGCTTTTAGCAACGCCGCCGTCAGTCATCACGGCTTTTCCACGATCAACCTTAGTTGGAATCGCATCGGCGCGAAGGGAACTAGGAACCTGATGCGCTGCTTCCAACACAATCCACTTTGTAACTTTATACTCTACGCGAACCAGTTGGGGGATGAAGGGGTGGTGCATCTCTGTGAGGCGCTGCGGTTGCACGGCGGGAAAGGGCAGGGCTCACTCAATCTCTATCGCAATAGTGTAGGCCCTCGCGGCGCTGCTGCGGTCGCGGCCTTGTTGGATGGAAATGATTATCTCTTGGAGCTTGATCTTTCCTCAAATACGTTGGGTTTGCGTGGTACTCAGGAGATTTGCCGGGTGCTCACGACGTCGACGTGTGTGCTGCGGACTTTGAATCTCGCGGATAACATGATCGGCGACGATGGTGCGAAGGAGGTCGCCCGCGTTATCTCTGCGAACTTACCCACATTGAATCGGTTGAATGTGTCGGATAACGAAATCAACGAGAAAGGTTCCTTCCACCTGGTGAACGCGTTGCACAAAAATACGAGTCTGCTCGTCGTGCAGGCTGGGAAAAATACTTTTGGGTCCAAGGCAGTGAAGAGTATCGAGGAGCTCGTGCGCACGACGAAGTCCCTTTGTTCGCTAAATATCATGAACTGCGTTTCGTCCCCGGAACTGCGGTGGCGGCTTAGCTTAGCGGTTGGGGAATCCGATGGGGTGCACGTCGAAATGGGTAACGAGACCACCGTTGAAAACGAAGAGGAGGGAGGTATTTTAGCGCGTATCAACGAGTATGTTCAGGGATTAGAGGAGCAGGAAGCGCAGCGCGCGAGAGAGGCCACTGCGGCGAAAAAACTTAGGCGTTCGAAATCCAAGGTGGCTTGAAAAGTTTACTTGCCATACAGAACTCCAGAAAAGACCAATCATCAGGTATGTCGCCATATCCAACGAGCTTGAAATGTAAATTAGTGATTGCAACGATTTGTTATGTATGTCTCCTATATTTACTAGACATGACAAAATCATTGTCATCGGCAAAGAAGAAAGTACTAAGCAGTTCGACATTTAACACGCCTGCGTACTATTTTTTCTTCTCTTTTTAAGTTGTTATCATTATGAGTAATGCCGATGTTGCATGTGCATTGTTTATGAGAGCGATTTTCTCTACTCTTTCCGCCACTTCTGGATCGTCTTTATGTTCTAGAATAGGGGTTACTATAGTATTGCTAGGGTTTTTGTTGTTATTCATATTCTTTTATCTGTTTTTCGTATAGACATATATATATATATATATATATATATATATATACTAC